CCCTTTTTTTTTTTTTCTCCAAATGATTTTGAGTTTTGTTCCACATTGTTCCTTTCTTGTCTTTTTAATGACCTATTTCTCTCCTCATGGATGATGTACTTGATGTCATCCCACAATTCCTCTGTTTTTTCAGTCACTGGTGTTCAATGCATCAGATCTATTCTTTAGATGGTCTCTAAATTCAGGAGAGATATTATCAAGGTTATATTTTGGCTCTTGTGGACTTGTTTGAATTGTCTTCAACTTCAAGTTGAACTTGCATATGAGCAGTTTATGGTCTGTTCCACAATCAGCTCCTGACCTTGCTTTGGCTGAAGATGTTGAACTCCATTGCCTCTTTTGACAGATGTAGTCAATCTGATTCCTGTGTATTCCATCTGGTAAAGTCCGTGTGTATAGCCATCACTGATGTTGTGGAAAAATATATTTGAAATGAGTAAGTCATTGGTCTTGCAAAATTCTATCATGTGATCTTCAGTGTTATTTCTGTCATGAAGGCCATACTTTCCAACTACTGGTAACTTTTCTTTGTTTCCAACTTTCACATTCAGTCACCAGTGACAGTCAACACATCTTGACTGCATGTTCGGTCAATTTCACACTGCAGAATATGGTAGAAATCTTTAATCTCCTCATTTTTGGCTTTGGTGGTTGGTGCATATATTTGAATAATAGTAGTATTAACTGGTCTTTCCTTGTAGGTGTATGGATATTTTCCTATCACTGAAAGAATTGTTTTTCAGGACAGATCTCCAAACAGCCTTTGTGATGATTAAAGCCACACCATTCCTCTTCAATTTGTCATTCCCAGTATAGTAGTTCATATGGTTGTCTGATTCACAATGCCCAAAACCAGTCCATTTCAGCTCACTAATGCCTAGGATATTGATCTTTATGCATTCCATTTCATTTTTTGACAACTTCTAATTTCCCTAGATTCATGCTTTGTACATTCCATGTTCCAATTATTAGTGGATGTTTGCATCTGTTTCTGCTTGTTTTGACTCATGCTACATCAGTCAATGGAGGTTCTGAAATCTTTCAAAAAAAACCAAAAACCAAATTCACTGACATCGAGTTGGATCTGACTCATAGTGACCCCTCCTTGGGTTTCCGAGGTGATATCACTATGGTAGTAGATTTTCCAATCTTCCTTCCGAGGACTCCATCCATATTGTTAAGGTTGTCTCTACTCTCAGGAGTCAGCTTTTCCCCAGTCAAATTTTGAATTCCTTTCAACCTGATGAGCTCATCTTTCAGCACTGTGTTGGACCATGTTTCAGGGCTATTTGTAAAGTTTTCCAGTGATGTATCAGACAGTGTTTCACTGCTATTCATAAAGTTTTCACTTGCCAATTATTTGAGAAGTGGATGGCATCTTCTTTCTTCTGAGTCTGTCTTAGTCTGGAAGCTCTGCTGAAAACTGTCCACCATGGGTAACCTCACTGGCATTTTGCAACACCAGTGGCATAGCCTCTAGACTCTCAGTAATACATAAGCCACCACAGGATGACAAACTGACAGACAAGTTCATCTCTATTAGTTGGTCCTTAACCCCTCTGCATCCACATACCTTGGGCCCCAACCTTAAAATAGAGCTGCCCCTAAACCAAAGCAGCCCCAAGCCTCACACCTGCCTACCTCTGGCCCTGGACTTAAAATAGAGCTGTCCCCAAGTGAAAAGCAGCACCTGAGCCCCGCCTCTTTTTGATGATGAATACAAAATCATTTGTCTTCAATTTGTCATTCCCAGAATAGTAGACCATATGATTGTCCCATTCAAAATGGCCAATACCAGTCCATTACAGTTTGGTAATGCCTAAGATGTTGATTTTCATGAATTCTGTTTCATTCTTGATGACTTCTAATTTTCCTAGATTAATATTTTGCACATTCCATGTTCCGAGTATTAATAAAAGTTTGCAGCCATTTCTTCTCATTTTGAGTCATGCCACATCAACAAATGATGTTCCTCAAAGCTTTACTCTATCCACATCATTAGGGTTGACTACTTTGAGGAGGTAGTTCTCCCTAGTTGCATTTTCAGTGCCTTCCAACCTGAGGGCTCATCTTCCAGCACTATATCAAACAATGTTCTGCTGCTGTTCACAAGGTTTTAAGTGACATAATTTTTCAGAAATAGATCACTAAGTCCTCCTTCCTATTCTATCATCTCAGTCTGGAAGCTGCACTGTCCAACATGGGTGAACCTGCTGGTATTTGAAATACTGGTGGCATATCTTATATCATCACAGCAATACACAAACTAGCATAGTATGACACACAAACTAGCATAGTATGACAAATTGACAGATGAGTGGTAGAAATAATAAATAATAATATAAAAGTACATAAAACAAATAAAAGCTCATAATGCCCATGCAATGCCAACACATCTATTATAAAGACAAGTATCATATCTCTATCATATTATAGTATATATGTATATGATGATGTATAGGTTTTAAAGACCAAAGGAGACTTTTCATCTCCTCCCATTTGTATAAGTATTCCAGCAGAAAGGTAGAACTAGGGTGGGATGTTTGGGCTCTTTTCTCTCTGGTGGTAGATACCACCATTCCATAAACTACTGAAAACCTACTGGGCATCAAATACATTGCTAGGTGCTGAGGGTTAAAAAATGATTTCTGCAAATGTAAAACCATATAAACACAGTGAGGAATTATTTGAGTCGCAGGAAGGCATTAAAGAAAAATGAAGAACATTTACAAATGTGAAATATTGAGATTTTTTGTTTAATTGTTACTGATTACCACAATGCACTTACCCAGCCAATTACTCTTCAAATAATAAGAAATAAAAGTTGGTGGTATGGTAAAGATGTCTACAATTGAATTCATCTCTAACCAGAACTTGATCTTGTCATCAGCTGCCACAAACTATGAAATAGAAACAGAAGACCTGAAATTCTGTTACCCTAATGAATTTTAAAATGAACACAAAAGATGACATTATTCAACTGTATTTCATTCATCAACTGAAGTTAACTCTAATTGCAACAGGTACACAAACATGCACATACACACTAATACATATATGTAGATATAGGAAGATAGAGACACTGAGATTGTACCTATGATTTAAGTCAATAAATTGACATGTACTGATATCACTTACCTAACGTATGTAACTTGTAGTTATAAGAGTAAATTCTTTTACTTTCCTCCTGCTGCTAGAGCTTTAAAGTATATAGAAATAAATAATACACCTAAATCTACTGCCATTGAGTCAATTCTGACTCATAGTGACCCATATAGATAATAAATTTTGATAGATAAATATAGATATGTATAGATAGTCATTGCGAGCAATGAAGGGCACAATTTAGGATGGTCTTCAATGGAAAAGGTTTAGTTGTCTTAGAAGTTTGGTCAATCAGGTCTTGTGTTTGAGCTTCCCAATTTAGATTAAGAAAATCAGTTTTTAGAGAAGGGAGAGTCTCCTCTAAAAAGATTTTGACAATCAGTGTGGTCAGTGTAAGTTTCAAAGGAAGGCCATGGGAATATACATGTATATTCTGAAACTTGCATATGTCTTTAATATATAATGAATACCAAAAAGAAACAAAACCAAAAACCTCAAAGCCATTGAGTCTATTCTGATTCACGGTGACCCTTATAGAGCTTTGAAAACTGTAAATCTTTATGGAAGGAGACTGTCTCATCTTTCTTCCACAGAGTGGCTGGTGGGTTCAAACCACCAATCTTTTGGTATAATCACTATACCACCAGAACTCTTTATATAATCAATATCTATTTTAATTTAGTCTCTCATAAATATTTTGGATAAATACACTGAAATCTAGATCTAGGATCATATTTAATAATTGCTTGTAGGATGAAGAGTGTTTAACAAAAGCAATAAATGAAAAAAAAAAAAGCATTTTTTTTCCCATAGTTTCATGGTACATAGGTTATCGGTGAAGCCAATGACATCTTCACATGCTTGTTAGTACAGCTCTTCTAGATTGTGATCACTTTAGCTTTCTTGGTTGTAGGTGGGAAACTGGTAGTTAAGTTGTGTGTCAATTTGCCTTGGCCTGGCTTTGAGTGGCTGGGCAGCTGGATGCAGTTATTCTCCATGATGAGGCTGATAATCAACTCCATGGTAGAATCTACTGGATTGGTTGAATAGCTAGCTGTGTTACAGATGTGCTCTTTTTCTAGTATATAAGAACACAGCATTGAGAAAGGTCTTGCGTTTTGGCATACTTGGATCCCACATATAGCCAAGTTGTCATTCAGCAGCAGCCATGTCACCTACCAGTCTTGGGACTGTTAATGGATTTGATTAATGGCCTGCCTTGTTGCTTGGTAATTTTAGGAGTGTGTCATTTTACTTGTTGACTTTGTGTCAGCCTCAGCAGTTGGCAGCTACCTGAGTAAAGAGATGCATCCAGATCCAGTGAGCCAAGGTTGAGGGGCTTACACCCAGCCCCTAGACCTGGCACTTTGAACTTGGACTTCTAGCCTCCCAAACTGCAAGAGAATAAATCCCTATCTGTTCAAGCCATCTCCTTTATGGTATCTTCTGTTAGAGTGGATTAGAGAACCAAAACAGAATTTGGTATGGAGAGAGTGGGGTGCTGCTCTGACAGATACCCAAAATACAGAAGCAAGAGTGGAGTATGTCTTTGACCAAAGACACTGGCAAAGAGATGGCAGCAGCAGAGCCAAGAGACCAGCGTTAGACAGGAATAGGCTTACCAGTTTACGAAGGAGAAAGCTGGATGACATTGGGTAGGCAGCACCCTGGCAGAATGGGTTGCCTTCAGGCATTTAATTGGTAGAAGAGATCAGCATGAGATGGAGTAGCAGGTTGGCCTACCCATAGATCAAGAAAACTAAGTGCCTTTTAGCAGAAAGATTCCTAGTATAGTAGTAGGTTGCCTTTGGGCATTGATTGGCAGAAGCTGAGAGACCAAGGAAATGGGAAGCAGAGCTGTTTCAGCCTCAAGAGTAGGACCATGGCCTCTGGAGGTGGGACCACCACAGCCTCATAGGTTTCAAAGAGTCAGACCTTTACCAATTTGGCTCTGGAGTGTGGGGCTGCTGTTCATGAGGGCCAGAGGGATGGGGAAATAGCCACTGCCCAAAAGTGAGGGGACAGGGCTGCCGTGCCCAAGAGGCAGAAGAACAGGGCCTTCTAGCCAAGGGAATGAGGTTGTGACTCAGATGAACTAGGGCACTGGAGCCATCCACTGAAGGAGATGTGTACAACTGCCTAGTTGACAGGGGGTGGAATTGTGGTAGTTAAGGTTATGTGGCTGGGCCTAGTTTTGATTGGTTGGGCAGCTAGATGTAGTTATTCCCCATGATGAGACTGATAATCAGCTCCATGGTGGAATCTATTGGAGTAGCTGAGTAACTGCCTTAGGCATGTGTCTGCTTCCAGTATATAAGGAGACAGCTTTGAGAGAGGCTTCGAGCTTTTGGCACAGTTGGATCCTGCATGTAGCCAAGTTATCATTCAGCCGATCTTGGAACTGTTAATGGACTTGAATTAGTGTCCTGCCATTTTGCTTGATAATTTTAGGACTATGCATTTTCCTTGCTGACCTTGGATTTGTCAGCCTCAGCAGGCAGCAGCTGCCTAAGTGAAGAGACAGCTCCAGGTCCAGTGGGCTGGGAGTAAGAGGTAGAGCTAAAGACCCAGGTCGAGGGGTTTTCACCCAGCGCCTAGAGATGGCTCTTTGAACTTGGACTTCTAGCCTCCTAACCTGTAAGAAAATAAATCCCCGTCTGTTCAAGCCATCCCCTTTGTGGTATCTTCTGTTAGAGAGGCATTGGAGAATGAAAATAGAAACCAATAACATGTTCATTGTGACAAGATGATGGTATTTAACGAAAGAACATTTTTGTTTGTGTTTGTATTTTTAGTCTGGTTTACAATTGGAAGTGCAGGAGAGTCTGTATGTCTTGTTATGTATTAAGCAATTTGGGGCCCAGACCCTTTATCATCAGAGCCTGAAAATATAGGCAGGTTGTATAACTAAGGTACCCACAGGTCTCTTTTTATTGCACCTGTAATGTTTGTGTCTTTACTTCCACTTTCAATAGGTACTTACTCTCAATCCAAAATAGAAACTAAAGAAAGCATTGAAAATCAAATCAACAGGAATGGTTTTGTCTTCATATGAAGAACAGCTTCCAACAGGGCTGGAAAAGAAACAAAGACAGTTTGTAAAGATGAATATTTTAAGCTGTATCTATATAGGACCAAATTAAAGGAAACGTAGGCAATTTTCTATTTATTAAACATAAATGGTCAATGGACACTTAAGTTCAGATCACAAAGAAATTGCTTTTCTTTTGGGAATGGAGGTATATACAAATAAAACCACTGGACTGTTTATTGAGCTGAAAATAACAGGAAAATTACCCATTCTTCCTTTAACAGATTCTACTGGTTCTATTTCCATGTTATCACTGGGGATTCAGAGCAATAGAGACTAAGTGGCTGTCATTGGTTTACCAGACTATCTATCCCACCAGGACATTTTGGCTTCACTACCTTTCTGAAGTGAAGAACAATAAGCCAAAGGGATTAGGTGAGGAGGGGAAACTCAGGGACGCCCAAAGAAGCAGGCCAGAAGAGCAGGAGGAAGAGGATTAAAAGACAGGAAGCCAGACAGAGGAACAGTCAGCCACAATGACCCAGGTGGGGGGGATACGAGAGGTCTCCAACAGCAGGACA